GTCAAATCTGCAGAAGCTTCAAAGAAAAAGAAATGGAGGAATGGAAAAGAAAGAGAAAAGGAGAAGATGAAAATATATATATATATAAAAAGTAAAATATAAAAGAATAATTTTTTTTTATATATATAAAAAAGGGTAATATTACGTGGCAGCGCGTGTTGATTACTACCTAATACGAATCTGGGCGTGAGTTTGTAGGGGGTTAGATATTTCACTTTTAAAAGGTTCAGGGGGGTGATAGGACCCCCGTGAAAAATAAGTGTGTAGGTAAAAATTTGGTAATAGCTTGGGAGGGCTTTTGACTATTTTCTCGATATAACTTCAAAAGAATGGAGTATAAGATTTGAAATCTTGAAGACCTGCTACAACAAGTCAACAACAACAATTATATACTCATTGAAATTCCACAAGTAGAATGTACGTACACGTAGTCGTACCCCTATTTTATGAATTACAGATCGGTTATTTTCGATAGACCATCAATCAGTTCATAAAGTAAATCGTAACCAAACAAGAAGAAAAAAGAAAATATTTTACCTTCTACACCAAGTGAAAAATGACTCGATATTTACTCTAACAAAATATATTACTTAAACTCTTGATCTTTATTCAAACTTAATATTAATAAAAAACATTTAAACATCCAAATTAAAAAATTGACTTTGAAATACTAAACAATTTTTACTCAAGTTAGTTTTTTCCAGCCAAAAGGGACTTCCATATGATATCTTTTACACTGTGATCACCATAAGGAAAAATATGTCCAGCATTTTGTAGTTCATGATAATTTATCCATGGAAGATTTTGTGCGATGAAACGTTGTAATTTAACTGACACAATTCCATCTTCAACGCCATGTCATAAATGTACAGAGTCTTCGTTATTAGGGAACAAGTTCTTTAGATCCATGAGATCGAATATAACTTTACCAAAACCAATAATTAGGTCTCTATGGAGTGATTCAAACTCCCCTTGTTGTATAACATATGCTTGCATTTACTTATTGTCATGAACAAATGAAGAAAAAAAAACATCAAATTGAACGTACTGAAAATATTAGACAACTTTCAAAAATTTATACATTATTACAAACGTTAGACAATAGCCTTATATTTTGTTTGTAAGGTTGAGAAATATATGAGAAAATAATAGATCGATCCGAGTCTAACATTATTATAAGGAAGGGTAATTTTCTAAGGACTATATATGCGTCTATTAAAATCATCCAACCATGGAAGTTATCCCAAAGTTAAAAGCAAGAGATTGAGAATTTAAAACCTGATATCCTCCATAACTTCTCCGATCCAAATGACAGAAAAGTCTCCATATTTATACCTTCTCCAATTTTGTTGTTGGAGGGGCGATTGTACGTTAAACTACCAAATAAATTAAACTATGGATAAACAAATATATATGATCATGACATGTCGAGCATTTAACAAATCTATCTTCAGGATTTAAGACCACAAGATTAAAGGTCTTTTGGTACTCAAAAGTCTGTTTTATTTTCTTAAATTTTGTATCAAGTCAAAACCAAACAAACAAAATTGAAACCGAGGGAGTAACAGAATTAATAATAGGTATGATTATGCACCTCTTGAAGTTGCATCTCATCAAGTGATGAGGCAATTTGAAGATCTTGTTGAGACAATTTGAATTCCCCATTTATAACACTAAATAAATCCATGAAAATATTGTTGTGTTCCACCAATACACAAGCCATGGGGCATAATGTATAACTCTATAAGCCCATTGGTCTCTAAGTAACTGCTCATCAAATGCTTGTTTAGTGAAGTTTGCTGGAAATCCAGGCCACCAAAAATTGATTACTGGAGCCAATAGTGCAGCTCCTGCTAAGCTATCAACCGATAATCGAAGAACAAAAAACCTCAGAGATAGAGAAATTATTTATAAAACGGAAAAAGGATCATATTTGTCCCATTACTATCTGAAATTGAGCAACTTAGTACACTCTTCGTTAAACTTTTGGTTTAATATTATTCGATGGTTAAGGAAAAAACTCATTTCCCCCCTAATGCAAGTATGTCAAAAGTTGAAGGGTAAATTTGTACTTTTTTCTTGAAGAATTTGGTTATGTGGGGTCTACCTATGTTGCTACGACTCTTCAAACATGCTGATATGTGCATGTCGGATCTAATATGAATCACAACTTTTTTTTGGAGAGTTTCAACTTTCAAGCAACATAGAAGTCCATCCATTTTATGCTATGATTGCAAGACTAAGGCCAAACATAAAACGATTTGCTAACAACAAGGGTATAAATGAATGTACTAAAAGTGTAATGAAGAGCAAAATTTAGGCATCATTTAGCTAACTTTAGTGATAATACTCAAAAGTATCAAGCCTGTGTACAATTACTCAACATGAGTACGTCAAGGCAAATGAAATATCTATACCGTTGTGAAAATAATATCATCCATTGTCACTGGAACATTCATTTTTTAAATTACAAATTGCACATCAAGGAAGTTGATTCATCCTCCTAGATTTTATTGTGTCATTTTAAAAAAAATAAAATTGATATGGATATCCATTGCACATCATTATTTTTTTTTTGATAACCGAGAAATCCGTCTGTGACCCGCCCTTTGGACCAATCACAGCCTTCTAAACTCGGTGGATAATGGGCCCGCCCCTCTACCCTTCTCCACTTAAATACCGGGCTTTGCTTTGCATGGTGTGGGGCTTGAACCTGTGACCTAAGCCACAAATCCTCCACCTTTTGCCACTTGAGCTAGGCCTTGGGGGCCAAAATTTAGCAATTTTGAATAGTAAAAAAGGGCAGTTCGGTGCACAAAGACACTACTCACAACTGAAATCAGGAACTTAATTATGATAAGAACAGATTTCCAATGTAGCCCCCTTGACCTGCTCAGAAAAGCTGATACATTCTTTTGAATATTAACTAACAGCAAACTTTGCTTTATCGAAATCTTCATCTCATGACAGAAAAACAAATTACTGAGATAAACTACCCGCGAAGTGATTAGCACAATCATCAACAGAAGTTGATTTTAGACCAGTTCAATCTCCATAACCTATCGAAATACTTGGATCCATATCTAAACTAAGAAGTTACTTCTAGTTGATACAACAAGACACTAGAAATCTTTAACAGTAGAGGATTGCAGATTCAAAATAAAGCTCCATCGTCTCTGCTTTAGTCTAAGAAACTATTCTTTGGCATGAAGTCTCATATGTTTCATCTGTATAGATATTCGCGGACTCACTTCCACTTTACCATACCTTCTGAACATGAGACAGTCTACCTTCTCTAACAATATGCATCATAAACAGGAGAACGAGGAGTGGCAAGAACATCTATCACCCTATTTTCTATATCCTTATAGAAAGGTATGCAACCATAATAGACACCTTCCCCGCTGGTTTTCATGACAATGTACATCACAAAAAGATCACACCTTTTACAATCTTCACACAAAGCAAAATGGAGTATAACATCAAGACATGTCAACAACAGCTCCACAAAAGTCCTTCCTAATCTTTTTGCACAAACACGATAACCATACAAATTCGAAAACCAAAAACTTTTTGCACAACATGATAACCATCTTCATTCACGAAAGGTTTATAACCTCTTAAAATTCAAATCTTTCAACAGAAAACAACCAAACCAGAAGAAACTAATTAGATACTGTAAAATTAACACTGCATAATTCAGTTTTCTACACTCTTCTCAGTAGCTAAGACAAAAAAATGAATCACAAATCAAATTGCAGGCTGCAAAATGCCAACTTTTTTCAGTTTAATTCCTTTCTGCAGATATCAAAATATCACTAGCAAAGAGAAAAGCATGTAAATTAAGAAACAAGCATACGCAATTAGCCCGCGATGCTCATCTCCATACGAAGCCAGCTCAACCAGAAGCCTCGTGCAAACCCGTGTTGACCATACAACAAAAACTCCGGTCAACACCTTGATCACCAATCCACCAGGCAAAAACAGTGATAGCGCTGATAATATCACAATGGGCAACATACAATAACCGATCAAGCTGACACATCTATACAAATTCAAGTTCCCATTTCGACCAGCGAGCATATTAAACACTACATATAGAAACATCGAAGCCATTACAACCCATCCCAATATTATCCCAAAATGGATCTTTCCAGCTAGCAATTGAAACAATCCAAACGCCATTAGAAATATGAACGGTCCAGAAAGGTCACCATCTTCGTGAAGATCTGGTTTGATTCGAAATGGGTTGAGAATTGAAAGAGTCTTCTGGTAAATTTGCTTTGTATTAATCCCAAGCTCCTCTAATAGCGGCGGTTCATCTTCAAATCCAATTGATCCACCGCCGCCGCCGATGGTAGCGGAGGCGAACTGGGGAGTGGAAAATGAAGTTGATGCAGCTGCTGATCCAATGTCGAATGACATGAAAGGTATTCCAGGGTTTGAAGATCTCGGCGGCTGAAAAGGAGCCGTCGGTGGATTAGCCGGAGGACGGCGTTGCGGTACACCGGGATTTCCGTCGGAGGGGAATATCACCGGAGGAACGTTGAATTGTTTCGCCATTGATCGGAGATCTGAAATTGCAGGGAAATTAGGGTTTTTTTGAGAGAGGTTGAAAATGGAATTTGGAAATTGGAAGAGGAGAAGGAAATGAATATGACCCGAAATTCGAAGGTTCGGGTCGTCTCAAAAGCATAGAAGAGATACAAAGGCACACTTTTCAATTTTACAGGGAGTCTGTTTTGATATCGTCATTTAACGTGTATCCATTTTTCGATTTTTTTTTTGTTTATGTCCAATCTTAGATATACATGTTTGAAATTATGTCTAACAAAACTTAACTTTGGAAACAATGTCTGCCGTTATAAATATTAAAGTCCAAATGATTAAACTTCAATCATTTCTTATTTGAATTTTATGCACGTATGATTAAAATCCAAGAAAGAATAAATAAAGTCAGATAAAAACAATCGAACTTCAATTATATATACATGAATTTTAGTCATATGATAACTTCCGACGCAATAACTGAAGTTGCTCCTTTTCAATAAGCACTACATTCGATTTTTAGCAACAATAACTTAATTGCCGTTAAATATATATTTTTAGTGGCAATTACTATTGACAATTACATTTTAGCACTTTTTATAAATGTTGCTAAAGCCTATAGCGACAATGAATCTAATGATAATTAACTAATGTCGATAAAAAAGTTATTTTTATTGTATTGAGGCTTTACGTACCTTTCTTTTTGTTTTTCATCTAGTATCTTATATTCGCATTGAAATTCAATAATATTCGAATTTGTTTCAAGGAATTCCACCTTAGTAACAAATGTAATTTCATACTATGAATTAAAGTTAAATTTTTTAGCCAAGAATAAAATACTTTGTATTTATCATTTCACCACGGTATATATCTATAGCTTCATATTGTTATTATAAACCTCTAATAACTACGAAAAACACTTGATTAAATTAACAATAAAGTAAAATTATACATGCTAGGAAATGTTTTATACAATATGATATATAAACATATCAAAATAGTAAGTACGTACTAACAAATTATCTAAATTATGGAAGGAGACCATATATTATAAGATAGACTTCTGGCGTATATTAGTGCCTTATTTCAGTTGAGGAATCCTTTTCGTCGAAAAATTATATTGTATAAATAAAATAACGAATTTTTACACCTTATTAGGGTGGATGTTATATATCGTTTTATAATATATAACACTATATTATATTGTATTGTATTCAGGGGTGTATTTATGGAGTTCCTCAGGATCACGTGAACTCATGCTCCTCTCCCTAGATCATATATAATAGTGTCATATTTGTTTTAAAATATTTAAATATAGATGTGTGAATCCACACTCAAAATATCATATAATGCGATGATGGTTGAGTGCATCTCTCTAAATGAGGTCAGAAATTTTAATCTTATACTCCCTCCGTTCCATTTTATATGTAACATTTTTACTTTGCACTTGCATTAAGAAATGATGTAACTTTACCCTTCTATCCTTATTTAATGTTTTCTTAAGTCAACTTTATTAATAAATGACAAGATTAATTAACTATTTTATCAATGGTATAATAGGCAAAATATAGTAATTTATACATAAATTTTATAAAATGACAAGTATTGTGGTCAACTATTTATAGAAAGGGATGACATATAAAATGGGACTGAGGGAGTATTTTTTTCTTTCTAAATTTGGGCAAAACCTCTATAAATGGTTATTGGTAACATTTTTGGAGTTTTAATTAATATAGTTTTAAAAGTTTAACGGGTTCTTTAATAAAAACCTAAAGATCAAATAAGACAAATTTATACCTTCGACTACTTTTTTTCGTAATAGTATACAGACTATACTCATCCTCTTGAAATCTTAGATACACCTATGTCCTAACTCATAATTTATTTAATATATTTTTTTTAGAAAAATGATGCCTAAAATTATTATTCCTTTATTTAAAAATAAAAAATAAATCTTAGGTACCTAAAAGAGAGTGTTGAAAACATGAAAGGAAGAAACTCATGCGATTTATGAATGATGCGTTTCATTCCTTTGTTTTCTGTTTTATTTCTTTTTACATTTATTTATTACTTTCTTTGTTTACTTTTATTTGTTTATTATTTCAAAAATATATTTTTACTTTTTTGCTCGTCACTTTTAATCTATTAAGATAAGATAATTATTGATTTTTGATTTTATATTCAATATTAATTACTTATTCACCAAATTATTATCAATATCTTAACTATTCATTAATTAATATGACATATCTAGGGAGTTTTCTGGGTTCATGTAAACTCATGCTTCCTTCTCGAGATAAATATAAATGTGTGAACCGATACTTGAAGTATCATATAATGCGATGATAATGAGGTGATACCTCTCCAAGTGAGGTTTGAAATTTAAATCTTATATCTTTTTTATTTCCTAAACGTGGGTAACACCTATAAGTAGTTATTGATAGCATTTTTGGTGTTTTAATTAATTAACTTTTTTTGCTTTAATTTTTTCAAAATCTTCACGTTTGTCACATTAGATTTTATTTATTTATAATTAAACTAAATATGTATGATAAAATTAGTTGTGCTTGATAATATATCATACAATCAATCTCAATACCTTAGACATGGAAAAATTATTTAGACCTATAATTTTAATAGTTTGACGAATTAGTGATAAAATCCTAAATGTTAAATTAATTAAATTTATATCTTAAATTCACCGTTTCATAAAGTGCACTCATCCTTTTGAAATTCTAAATTATACACCTCTAATTGTATTATATTATTTTGATAAATACATATAATATTTGGATAAATTATAAGTATCATTTTTCATCATTACATAAAGTCAAACACCAACAATGGAAAATATAAAACTTACCAGAGAAGTATGGTATATGAATGTAGAGCTATTAGATAATAAATAACATGAGATCTATTCTAAAATGAAACTTTTTATCGTTACATAAGAATGAATTTAATAATATAATAAATTTTTTTTTTTACTTTCTATATCAATCAAAAACTATAATATTCACAATACAATATGTCACAAGTTGTTAAAGATTCCAAAATATGTGAAATAATGATAAATTTATGGTCCAAAAAAAGTTTCTTTCAACTCCCTAATAAAATGGAGAATAAGAATATTCTTATTTATTATTTATATATTTTATTTTATATATTTTCACGACCTTGTACTGCATGAAGTACTACATGTACTACCATAGAAAATTAAATAATAATTGGATGATTGTACTGCTTTAAAATCTGATCTAAAAAATACTCCATAAGATAAGAAAATTATGTTTTTACTTTACAAAAATACAAAAAAAAAGTCTTTATCTTTCTTGACAAAATTTATTTATTTATCAAAACGCTACTCAATTATGAACAATGATTATATTTAGGAAGGAAAATATAAAAGTATAATTACGATTTTTCTTAAAGAGATTTAAAATAAACGAATTAGCCTAAGAAAGTTCATCAACTGTTATCTATACCTAAAAAATAATCTAACTATATATAAATAGTGTAATTTTCCATCAAAAGGAGTTCAATTGTTCGGATAAATCCCTAGCCCATGCTGGCTTTGCCCCTGAAAAAATCGAATGATTGATAGTTGATTATGTTTTAATAAATAATAATAAAAATAGAAAAAGTAAATATGTGATAATTCGAATAGAAAACTCAAAAAATCATATATTTTAGATGCATTTTTTATCTTTCGGGATTAAAAAAAAACACACACAATATAGAAAGAAGGGAATCTATTTTTTTTTGGTCTCCTTTTCTCTTTATATAAATTAGCAGCTTTTCACACCTCTCAAATCACAGAAAATCAAAGGTCAATTTTTTGCTCTCAAACTTTGTATATCACCATCTTTCTTCTTGAAAAACCTCACAAGTTTCTTCTCAAATCAACCTCATCATGTCTCAGGTACTTTGAATTTACTTTCCTTTTTATGAAATTTTGAATCTTTGATATGTGATATGAATTGGGTAATTTTCAAAACATGATTTTGAATTGATTCTATGAAGGGGTTGATGGATTTTGCATTGTTAGTGGGAATTTTAATTTGGGTTGTTTTTGTTTTAGCTAAATGTAAAAGGGGTTTGAATGAATTTGTTGTTAATGGGTAGAAAATCCCTAATTAGTTTGAGATTAAGGTGTAGCTCATTGATTGATTGAATGGGGGTGGTGGGAGTGGGAGTGGGTGGGGGTGGGGGTGCTGGTCTATCGGGAGCAACCTCTCCGCCTCTCAAGGTAGGGGTATGGTTTGTGTCCTACCCTCCGCGAACCTCACGAGTGGGATTGGATTGGGTATGTTGTTGACTTGTTGTTGTCTTTGATGTGTAAAGAAGCTAAGTTCAACATTCAAATCTTGTTTTTGATGGTATAGTTGAAGGATTTGATAAGATTTGCTTGTTTAATAGGAGTTTAGATCTTTGTTGTTCTTGTTTTAGCTTAAAAGATGTGAGTTGGAATAATTTTTTGTTTTAATTGAAAAAAATTGAAGCTTTACATGATTTTTGAGCTTCAACTGTTTGATGATGGATGAGTTGTTTGTTTACTACTGTGCCTGGTGTGAGCTAGAACAACAGGTCCGTTAATGAGTGCATTGATCGTTTCAATAATTTATTGAATAGTTTATTATTCCTTTTCAGATGTAATGATAGTTTGATCATTTTCCTTATAAATTGGTTGATTGATTATGAGCTTTTTCCTTTTGTTGCGATGTTTAGGCTTCTGTTTTTCCTCTTCCATATGTAAAGAAACTAAGTTCAACAGTAGAATCTTGTTTTTGATGATAATTTGAAGTAATTTGTTGAAGGGCTTGATTAGATTTGCCTGTTTAGTAGGGATTTTGATCTGGGTAATTCTTGTTTTAGCGGAAAAGATATGGGCTCGGAACATTTGTTTTGCTTAACGGGAAAAAATGAAACTTTACATGATTTTGAGCTATAAATGTTTGATGATGGATGAATGTGTATGTTTACAACTATGAGTGGTTTTACTAGCAAAGCAGATCCATGGTTTTTGATTAGCTAAATTCAAGAATTCATTAGCTAGTTTGAATATTTTCCTCATTAATGAGCTAGTTTAATGCATTACCTTCTGTTTTTGGTGAATATTTATTTCAGATTAGATATCTAAAAATCTACGTTCTCCTTTTCTTGAATTTTTCCGGTTTAAGAGTTGGTCCA